AAATCGTTTCAGTGATTATTTTCAACCTTCATTTTCAAGGAAAACATGGAAAACATCTCCTTTTTGTTTGCACCGCGATTTAATGAGCTTTTACAGTAAGGGGAGGGGGGAGCTTTCAGGGGCACCAAAGTACACTTTTCTCATAGAGAATAACTTCAAACTCGTAATAAAGCAATATAGGCGGCTTCATTAATATCAGAGTGCGTACAACTATTATTTGAAATGGTTTTCTTATTTTATAGTTATGCTAGTCATTACCTCGAAGGTTTAAAGCCTGCTGTTCTTTTATCAGCGTTTGGAACATGATAAAGAGAACAGTGATCATTGCTCTCATGACATCCATCTTGACATCTGTAAAAAACAACGGTGCACACGGTTTGTTTTCAAATGCTTCTCTTTGACAAAAAGATTTCAAAAATATATTAGACCATGTATATTACTAGTAAGAAATACGTGTCTCGCACACCCTCGTGAAACTCGACAGCCGGACGTGACCTGCCTTTCGACTTGTTGAAGACCTGTTCCCTACAGGGCAGTTTCTAAAGGGACTCGGTATAAGGCTGAAGCGTAAATCTTCTTTTACACAGCCCGACCTTCAAACATGTCTTTATTCTTTTATTTCTATTAATTATATGCGTAAATCGTCGAATAGATTGTATCTAAATCTCGAACTACTGATTTCGGTACCACTACATTGAATGAAAAGGCCTCCTGTTTCCAGAGGCTGCGAAATCATCTAACAAGCATTAGTTCCCTTTCTTAGAAAATGTCACCTTTAAGGTACGCTTGACTTGATGGGTATAACCGGCCAAATAGTTGAATGAATCCCGGGTTATTGATATACGCCTGATCTGTTGCGCGCCAATTTCCGAGTCATATGTTTGAATAGTTACTGTTGTTCACGTGAAATGAAACTTGGAGACAATACCCTGAATAATGAGAGACTTTCCCATTACTTAACAGAAATTTTAAAAAAATTTAAAAAATAGCGAATTTACGGCCTTACAAGATAAAATAATCTTGATGCATAATAATCAATTCTTTTTTTGTAGCAATCAGCTAAATCTTTCTCCATGATCTTTCACGTACATTTTTAAAAAGATCGAAACTACTATGAGGCTAT